CATAGTCGCTACCCGATATCCTGTTTCATGATTAAAAGTCGATATAGAGAACGTGTGCTCTCATCGTAGCAGCGAAGCAACCTCTTACCCCTGCCAACCTCCGGAACTACTCTCGATACTGCCTACCACGGATCGCGATGCAAGCAGAAGCGCGACCAATACCTGAAATAATTTATCAGTTATTCGTGGAAAGGCGGGGTGAAGACCCGCCATCGAGGTTAACTCTCCGTTTCGTTGGACGAGGATAAAGTAGGGGGCGAGAGAAAGAGAGAGAGAGAGAGAGATTCGAAATTTCAATTGTTTCGGTGCAGCTGCCACTTTCTAAACTCGGTCAACTGATACCTCGATAAATCACACGTATACGTCCACGCACGATCGTAATTTCCATCTGAACTATAAAAGTATCCACGGATGATAGGTTTGCCTATTGGTTTACGAACCGTCGCGAATAAATACGCATTGAAACCGAGGGGAATAGAGGAAAGAACTATTCGCGAATAGTCACTTTTCACCGTGGTGTTCATGGTGTTTGGATCCTTCCTCTCTCTCTCTCTCTCTTTCGTAGGATCCTCCCTCATATACGCGATTCAATATCCATGTATAATATATCCCTTCCTCGATTTACTTACAGGGGAGCAAGGAAGCATTTTTTCGAACCACCAATGAAACAGTGGGTGTAGAAACGTATACGGATACTGCGAGAGCTCGTCCATGGACCGATCCTTTTTATACGCTTTCTCCCTACCCGCGGATGATCTCTCTCCTCGGAAACCGGACTTGCATGGTCGTATATACCAACACCGTAAGAAACGTTTACGAGTCCGTATCGATATGGGTCGAAACTCGAAACGCGTTCTTGCTCCTGGCAAACTAAGCATCTTACTTTACTTTCCGTGTCAACCCGTCACGGGATTCGAAACCGCGGAGGAAATTGGAAGTTACGATCGATCGTTGTAACGCGGCGTTGTAGACTGAGGAGTTTCATTCAGTTTCTTTCCAAGCTTTCCCTCCTAGCGTAATTTCATTTTATTTTTGTCTTTGTTTTTGGTAGAAAAAAACGATTTGTATTATTTTCACTTTCCCTTGGATTAATATGTTATGACCAGCCTCCTGCTCCGTCGAGGAGCAGTTCGACTCCAAGGAATTCCGTCGAAACGCATCGTTTTCTAACAAATCGCGAACAAATCCTGATCCTGAACGCTCGTTCGGATCGATTTCTTTTCCTATTCCCTTATTTGGGAAATGAAATTCTTTCTCTCTCTCGCACGTAGTAGTAGCAACACGCATCGAGCTCTGAATGGAATGGAAAACAAGAGCGAGGGTACGGAAATATCGCGCTATATATTTTCAATGCCACTTTCCTCTTTGCGAAAAACAACAAAGCGTGGTTGAGAAAGACTCCTTAACTTTTTAAAAATCGAGAAGATGTAGGAGATGGGACGCTTTCGTGACACCGATTACTGAAAAATTCGAGTTACGGCTCGAGTTTCACCGATGGCGATCTTACGCGCAATAAAAAAAAAGAAAAAAAAAAGGAAAGCAGAACTAAAACTAGGCGAGGTAAAAGGCAAAAAGCGAGTAAATTCCTCCTCCTCCCTCCCCAAAAAAAAGTTGAATCGATAAAAACATCGATCAGTTGAAAAGAAGCGTCTCGTTGTAATAATCGTGTTTACCCGATAGTTACTCGGTTATTCCAATTTTTTTTCTTTTTTTTTCGATGAAGCACGGTAATTTTACAAGCTTAGTTATTATTATTCAGCACTCTCTTATCCGTTCCACGAATCTTATATTCGAGAAAGAAATATTTCTAATATTAT